GGACAGATCCAAGCACCCTGTCCACATCCTCACGTCTCAACAATTGAAACTCATCCATTAATCCTTGATCTAAGCACAGCACACAGCATCCTGATTCTGCAGTAACGGTGGAGTCCAACCCACTGCAAATCTGAGCGATTTTTCCCTCAAAATGAATGGCAAACTCATCACAGCGAGCTGATGAGCAGTCCGGGACCTGTGCCGGATTTCCCGGTTGAAGAAGATCCTGGACCACCAGAAACAGTTCTGCTAGATGACATTCTGAGGAAGCAATACAGCTGGAGAAATATTGCCGTTTTGCTAGCCGTATTGCCATGAAATAGGCCACATAATGGGCTCTAAGTCGTGTTCAATCGGACTCCCAGCAGGATTTCCTCCACCTGTGCTCCAGCTGTCTCCCTTCTCCCTTCATCACCCGCACTTCAGAAGTATACCAAGGAGCTGTCTGGGCTCTGCGTGCAGGGAGAGGGCGCTTAGGCGCAATCGTGTCAACCACTCTGGTCATCCCCCTATTCCATAGGGTGACCTGAGCTTTGACAGGAGCGCCGACCATATCAGACGGATAATCCCCCAGAGCACTCAGGAAACCATCCGGATTCATTAGTCTCTGAGGGTGGATCATCTTAATAGATCCCCCACCCTTGCAGAGGGAAGAAGTTTAGACTAAACTTGACCACGAAGTGGTCTGACCATGACAATGGGGTCACAACAAGCTCCTCCACATCCAGACCACCATCTTCCAGTCCCGTTGGGAAAACCAGGTCCAAGGTATGGCCCTTCTCATATGTCGGGCCGATGACACATTGAGACAGCCCCATGGTTGTCATGGCGGCCATGAAGTGCTGAGCCGCACCAGTCAAGGCAGCCTCGGCATGGATGTTGAGTTCCCCCAGCACCAACAGCCTGGGAGTCCTCAACACCAGGTCCGAGACAGGCAGGGAGACTGTTGGTATGCAGCAGGGTTGGCGCTATACCAACAGAATCCCCAATCTGTCTCGTAAGCCCAACACACAATACAGGCCCTTCAGACGTCCTCTCAAAGGGATAAGAAGCCAGGTCAAGGAGATAGAACTCCTATAGACTATAGCAAATCCCCCCCGACCCTCCAAGCGACATTGGTGCTGGACCAAGTATCGAGGCGGATACAGTTGGGAGAGGGAACACCACCCTCCTCTCCCATTCAAATCTCAGTAATGCACACCAGGTCAGCACCCTCATCCAGAATTAATCGTGGATGAGGGCAATCTTATTTTGTACTGACCTGGCGTTCATCAACAACACCGTGTGGTTCGAGGGTTTGCTGATATGGTCACCTGATACCATCTGGTTGGGGGTAGGACTAGAAGAGGGGATAGATGTAAGATATCTAACCTTTCTTCTCCTACATGGGCATATTCTAGCCCCACTGCCATTCCTTCCACTACAATTAAATCAAAGTCTTAGAAGCAGAGAAGGATTAGAACTTCTATGTAAAAGGAACCTGCAGCCCCCCATGCTCCCAAGTCCCTTCAACTTTAGAAAGCCTAGTCCAAGGATGAGGCATAATAGAAGTAGCGATTCACCAACATCTGGATGGCAAAAAATTCTCCATTTCTGGTGTAAAATACTTTGCTTGAAATGGCTTGTGAGATTTTTGTATTTCATCTAATCATTTTGGAGTGCTAATGTTGAAAGAATCATATAACTACTTCCTTGCTAGTTTTGGTCATATGTTACTATGGGTTCCCTGAGCAAAACTGGTTTTGCTGTTTGTTATGCTACCTGGTGAAGTGGCTGTACAATTACTTCATTACACAGTCAAGCTACAGATCTGCCTTACATTAATTCAGAACGTTGTTCTATCCGGCTCAGTTGACCTGCACTGATGCTAATGGCTTTACAGCATTTCACATAAGGCATTTCCCCAGTTCTACCCTGAGATGCCAGGATTTCAACATGAAACTATGTGTGCACCCATTGAACTATGTCCCTTCCCATAGTTTGCAGCATAATCAAGATGGGTCAATCTATATGTTGAAACAATAAAAATAATAATAAAATTGAGTTATACAAAGCTTCATTCTACTATTGTTGGACTATTGACCGGAGATGTTTAAATGTGTTCTGTGTAATTCTATTAAAGGTGGGTTCATTGGTTTAATTAGCAACTGGGTTTTTATTGCATTTATTATACTGTGTATTTTATTGTATGTTGTGATCCATCCAGAGAGTGTTTGCACTAATAGGGTTATTGTATGTTGTGAACCATCCAGAGAGTGTTTGCACTAACAGGGCGATATAGAAGTGGAAATAAGTAAGTAAAGCTTCCTTTTATCTTGCATATGTAGAAGAGCAAACCTCATCCCAGGTTGTATATGTTACTCTTAACTGTTTCCATGAAGAAACTTGTATTAGGTACGTGCAGAGAAAAAGGTCCATCCATGGTATAGCAGAAAGAACTGTGCATTTTTTTAATTAGCTACAGGGCAATTTGAGAAGCACCCAGTTACCTTTGGGTCCATCTGTGTACCCATACAAATAATTAAAGTTTACTCTGGCATTTGGAGGGCTAGAAATGCTGCTATAAGAAAAAAAAGTTGACGCTAGCCGCTGTAGAAAAATGAAGTGACACAGAAGAAAGCAACAACACTCTGTGGATATTAATAAATGAGCAATAGGGATGACTCAGACCAACAGTATTGCACTCCATATTCTCATTAACCTGACTGGCAGTAATTTTTACATTCAGGCAGGGTTAAGAGAGAGTGCAATTTTTCAGAATTGCCTTCCTTTTCCCTGCTCTCCCCAAACATAGCTATAATGAGTTTTCACCTTAGTTAAGGCTGATAAGTCTCTGTGTGTGTGTGCTTGTGTGCACATGTGCGGAATGAATGACTGACTCTTGTATGTGGGCTTTGAGTGAACAGGTCAAAGTAGTCCAAGGGACTACCTGTCCCCTAGAATTTCCTACTTTCTTCTAAATGACTACTGGCGGCTCATGCCAAATGGATTCATGGAAGGACAGGAGCTGGGCAAGGGTTAGTATGCAGAGCTTTCAGAACAGTGGGAGAAAAGAAAGCTGGTAGGAACTTTGCAGCACATTGACTGTCATCAGATCTCCCAAATGGATTGACTGAACTACATAACTGCTCCCATCCAAATCATAACCCTTTGTTTTTCCAATTCACAGCAAATATTTGGATACAAATAGATTGTATGGCATTTGCACACCTCATAGTTTGCATGGGTGTTACTGGTGCCAATATTTGCCTGTGACAGGAACTGCAGTGAGTGGCTACAATCCTAACTTCCATTCTCTTCTCTGTTTTCCCCACCTCTTTGATGCATTAGTGCTGGACCCCCCTACACACTGTAGTGCAGGGATACCTACTGACACTTTACTTTAAAAATTCAGATACCAGCTGGGCTTACCCCATTCCTCGTACAACAAACATTCTTGAGAATATATATATATTTGATTTAGATTTATCACACACCTATGAATTAATGCTTTTTGAAAGGTTTTGTCATTAACAATCCTTGCTCAGCTCTTGCAAACTCAAGGCCATGGTTTCCTTTATTATTAAATATTGGTATATTTATTATTTAACAAATAAATAAAATAATAAATATATCAGTGTGGTATATTTATTTATTATTGTATTTATTTATTACATGCATGTTCTACCAATGAATTCAAAGCTGTGTACGTGGCTCTCCTCCCCACATTATCCTCCCAACAACTCTATGAGGTAAGTCAGAAAGAGCGGGACCCTAAGTCTACCCAGTGCATTTCTCATATGAGTGGGGATTTGAACCCAGGTCTCCTGAAACTACTGCTGTAACCATTCCACCACACTAGGTCTCAAGGAGGAGCCAGTATGTGGGACTAGCACTGGGGACCATCAGGCTCTAGTCCTGACTCAACCACTGGGCCACTTGGGTTCAGTTATTCTCTCTCAGCCTGATCTATCACATGAGTGCAATGAGGCCGTCTTCTCCAATGCTGAATTACACATTTGCTCTAGAAACTGGTGTGACTGCGGTACCATACTATTGTCACAGAACAGAACATAGTGCTACTGTTGCCCAAAGGCTAAAATTAATTTAGAATCAATATCCACCAATCTTTTAGACACCCTCTAGAATGGGTTCATAGGTCTTCGGCTTTGCACCTGTTGTTGGCATGAAGAAAGGATGAGAAAAGCACAAACCACTTGTCTTCAGCGTTTCCATTTTGGAAAAAAAAACTGGCTTTATTTGTAAAGTCTACAAAATACAGAGGAGTCTGGGAGGACACTTACTGTAAGTCAGAAAATAAATAAGTACTTTTTTTTCTTGCTCTATAGACGATAAAATGTGATTTGCATATATAAAATATAAAGTACGGCTCTGTACCAACATCCTGGCCGTGCCACAAGGCGGAATGGCATAAAGGACGTGAAAATAACTTATATTTGTGCAATAAATAAGTCACAGGGTCGGAACAAGGGGAAACAAGGATGGGGGTAGAAAATGAGGAAGAAGGAACCCCCATAAGGATGACCAAAGGGCAATAGAGAGGGAGGTTGGACGGACAACACTGGTTCTGAAGCTGATTCCATCATAAGGTGGAGGATGTCATGGTAAGCTGCAGGATGGGTGAACCCAACCATATGTCTAAAAATTAGAGGGTTAATTGTTTGTCACTTAAATAAGTCACTGTGTCACATGCCTGGAAGCGACTGCCCATAAACACTCACCAGTTCTTATGTTAGCATATAAACTTAAGGATGGAAGGTACCTTCAAAATCCATCTAATCCCCCTTCATATATTCATGAAGGGGCATTTGCACCTATGCCACCCAAACTCGTTTGCTTGCCAGCTTCGAAATATTATGCAATAGGCAAGTATATCAGTCTCCCCTTCATGTGTGTGTACTCGTATTTTTGTCTCAAGGGTTTTGTTTTGGCCAAGATTCTAGGCACCACTGCAAACGTGATGGTAGATAGGCAAAAATGGATTGCCCAGACAGATCATGAATAGGCAACATGTTTCACATGAGAGGCAATTTACATTCACACAGTCTGATCTGCCATCACGTGCAGACTCTTGACTATTGCACTGGGGTTTCTTTCTGCTTAGAGGAATTCTGGTATTTGTCTGTTCCCCGGTTGTGATACCCTTCACCATATATTCAGCAGAAATACTGCAAAAATGGTTGAAAAACTGCCATAGTGACCTACTTCCCCCCCACAACATATACATCCCTTTTCCCACTAAAACTGAAAGACTTTCCTGGCGTATAACTCCTGCGGCTCATTCCCTATTCAGTCATTTCACATGCTTGATCCATTTTTCTTCTGCTTCATCTTACTACCTTCCCTCTTTACTTTCTCCCTCTTGTTCACCCTCTTTAGAAAGCTGCTCCTGTGCTATCCCTGAGAATGGGAAAGCTCAGCCCAGGCCACTGTTAGAATGATGTGCCTACACAGCTGGAGACAGCAGCTGCCTCTTCTAGTTACTATGGTGTGCACTATCATATCATCATCTGATGAGATGGGAGCAATTGGCTCTCTCTTTCTTGCTGGCCTGCACTTCAATGATTCATCACTTGCATCAGCCTTATGACCACACAGCAGTAATTCCCTTTCTTGCCTCTTGCTACCACCTTCTCCTTTCCTTTCCTTCCATTGAGCTTGCCCATTCATTAGCAGCTCAGTCTGGTGGGACTAGAGCCAGTTCAAATAACAAACAGTTCAAACTGAACAGAACACATTTGTTTGAGCCAAACAGTGCATATACCTACGAAGGTAGAGCTAAAATATGGAGACAGACAAGAGCTGGGCCACCAAAAGACTAGGAAATTTGTGGCCCTTGAAGACCACCTACATGGCTACTACATTCCTAGCCCTAAGCTCTTCTTGAGCACAAGCGGGCTTCAATCTAGTATCCCTTCAGTTTCACAATAAAGAGTTTAGTTCCCTTTCACTTCCCTTGCAGTCAAAGGTATAGCAGAGACAGTATCTCCAGGCCCATCCTGCTACATTAATTTGTGGCTGTATCCAGAAGGGCAAGAGAAGAAAATCTGATAAACATGACAAGAAAGCAAAAAATGGTCAGGGGCAGGAAAAGGGGTAACTGGCCACTGCATTCCAAGCCAGAGCATTTTTAACAACTAAAATTATCCAAGTCAGACACTACCTTCCCATCCTCTCCCAGTAAAGATATGGGGGGAAAGGAAGAAGTGTAATATTCAGCCATTTTGTCTTCAAGTCGTTTCAGTCTCCTTCGAATGGCAGAAGAAATGGAGAGGGGCCAGTGCAGCTACAGCCATTCTAGGTGAGAGCTGGGCAGAGGCATGGCAACAGGACTCAGTTCGTGACTTGGCCTTCTAGACACTAGGAGTATGTGGCCTGGTTGGAGCCAGATTTGACAATGGTAATCACGCTGGCAGTAGCCACCTTGGCAGCAGTGCCATGAGCAGTGACAGTACGGGCAAAGCCCTGCAGCGCCTCATACTTGCCACGCAAGGCATCCAGCTCAAGGCGCATGGCAGCATTCTCTCGCGCTAGCTTATCCACTTCCCTCTCCAGCTCCGTCTTCTGCTTCTGCAGCTCCTCCTTCTGACACACCCGCTTCACCCGGCAGCTGGCCGCATAGCCACGGTTCTTCAGAGTGCGCCGACGTTGCTTCAGCCGTGCTACCTCCTCCTTGGAGAGGCCTCGCAGATGATGGTTAAGTTCCCGCACTGACAATCCCATCAGCTCCTCATCGGAGAGGTGTGGCGTATTTTCACCCATCTCCCGCTTGATCTGTTTAAGAAGCACATGAGCATCCATTGAGGCAAAAGTACAGGGAGAAAACAAAACGAAGCCAATTCTGCACCAAGAAAATCCAAATTCTTTTACAAACATTTTCTAGACTAAAAATACATATGTGGTGGGAAAATGTGTGTACTTAAAAATAGTTGAAGTACATAAATCAGAGTTAAAAACGACAAATTAAAGCAATGCACATGGAATGAATGAGTTGAATCTGGCTGCCATCCTACATGAAATTTATCTGCAACTAAACTAAAATAATTCTACTCAAGTAATACTGTACCTGAGTTTCATTCATAACATTTCTGCACCTGCCACGCATATGCAATCTGTGTACAATTCCTTGGCATTTTTACTTGAAAATAAGTTGCACTGATTTAATTGGTGCTTACTCACAGGGAACTGTGAACAACTGCAACCTTGTGTATTTAAAAGTCAAGATAAGTGCCTAAACATTGAACCTCAAAACTAATCTGTAACCAACATAAACATGTAGGATGGATGCAATACTGTATGATCTAACAATTCTGTTCCTGCTCACACCCTGGTGGCCACATTTTGAACTAATCTAGGTTTCCAAGTGTCCTTTAAGGCAGTGGTCTCCAACCTTGGGCCTTCAGATGTTCTTGGACTTCAACTCCCAGAAATCCTAGCCAGCAGAGGTGGTGGTGAAGGCTTCTGGGAGTTGTAGTCCAAAAACATCTGGAGGCCCAAGGTTGGGGACCACTTTAAGGGCAGACCCATGTAGAGAGATGAGACTTGCCTCTTCTCACTCTGGCTACTTCAGAACAAAAAGTCCAGTTCTGAACCCCCTTAATATTAACTTCCTTGTTAACAAAAGCAGTGACTCTGCATCAGAACTTATGAAAAGCTATTTTTTGAAACTAGTTTCAAGCCACTGATGTTTTTTTTAAAAATCTTCAGGGTTGATAGGTGTTTGGCCTAAAACTTACTAAAGTTATTCTTGAAATGCAGCTTAAAACACCCCTTAGAAGTTATTTAAAATGTTGATAACTGAATTACTCGAATAATTTTGCTCCTACCCCTTATGTCACTTTCAAAATTAATTTTGCCACACCCTTGTAGCCATTTAAAAAAATCAAACCTTCACTACAAGGTAACAGTGTTGACTAGTAACTCGTTACTTCTGTGCTGTGTCCTGCCTATGGGAGTAAAGTGATTACTTGCTAGTCCTTCTGCAAAATATGGAGGAAGGTGGGAGAGACCTGTCAAAATGGGGTTTCACACAAATGTCACTGTTTCTCACCAGTTTACAGGGAGATGAAAGGGAAGTGGAGAGGCAGCAAGTATCTGATACAATGACATGAGCAATGCACTACATACTGTACAAGCTAATCATCATAGGAAAAAAGCAATCACACGATTAGAGGAAAAATACTGAAGGAAGGGCACAGAACATCCTTCCCCTTTTGGCTCCACTGTGACTAAAGCCCTTTGGAAACAATGTCTGTTTTCTAATACTTTTTTGTTGCTTTTGGGGGGGGGGTTGCCCATGAGCATTTCTCTTAGGGAGAAAGGAGAAAGGGAAAAGGAGAAAGGAGAGGAAAGTCCAGACATTCCTTTTGGGCCAGTCACAGGAAAGCATCCAATTCGACAGAAACTTCAGCACACGTTTCTACCAACTCTGAAAAACAGGGGGGTGGCAAAGCAGATGAATAGTTAATCTAGGCAGAAAAAAAACACTTGTGAAGTAAGAAATATAAAGAACAGCAAAGCAGAAGGTGAGGGCACAGCGAAAAGGTAGAAATTGTTAGTGTAGTGAAAAATTAGCTAGCTAGTATGGCATCTAGCTGCGGAGCCAGAGACTGGGAGTTTGATTCCCACTGTGTCTCCTGAGAAAAGAGCCAGCCTATGTAGCTTTGAGCAAGCTGCACAGTTCTAGAGTGCCTCCCGATGAGAAGGCGAGTAAACCATTTCTGAATACCCTATAAAAACCCTGGCAAGCTTGCCATAAATCATGACTGACTTGAGGGCATGTGATGATGATGATTAGTGAAAAGATAGGTCCCAAAGATGGGAGGATGATAGAAATGCTCAGTATATTTTGCAGAGTAAAGGTATTTTGTTCATGTATGCCTACATTACTTTAAATGCAGCTGCTCAGTCTTCATGAGACAGAGAAGCCATCTGTCTGAAGCATAACCAACCTGAAAACGGCCTTTCTTTTGTGGAAGAGATTAAGATATTCTCCTGGGAGACTCTCTGTCTTGGCCTGACTTTGCTTTCATTTAAACAAAGCTGGAAGATGACAATATGAAAACAATAGCTGGAAGAAGCTGTTCTTCTGTGCCGACTAGCTCTTACCTTGAGGGCTTTGCTTGACAAGCTGTCAGCTGACATTTTCCTTTGCGCTCCCACTTCTGCCAGGAAAATGCCTGTAATTGAGCAGGACAGAAAACAAAACAAGACCAGTGATCAGTATGCACCCCATCGCATAGCTGTACTCTCTGGGGGGAATGTGACATTTTCCACATAGGAATCACCCTCCCCCTTTACCCTGTCTCCGTTTTCCAGTTGCATTCTTCATTAGCCATCACACCAAACAGAACGACACAGAACAGGGTCTCGGAATCTTCCCTAAGAAAGTCATCCTTGTGTGGGTGGAGATAATCTTTAATGTTCCACAATTCCTTGGTCCAGCAGAACAACACACAGAGAGAGAGATGTCAGACTGCTGACCCAGCATCAGGATGACTCATGCTTGCTGGTTTGTTTTGCTTTTAATGAACTGGGGAGGGGGGAGAAAATCAAAAACCAAAAAGTCTGATTTTTCCCCCCAAAATGGATTGCAGCAAGAGTTCATGTTGTCCTGCGAGATCTCCTCCTACCTATCCACCCCACTTAAAGTTAGAGACGGATACAATGCATTTTCTCCCCCTCCCCCACAATACTATCTCTACTGGACATGCCCTGCAGCTACAGGAAACTGCACAAGGGCAAACGTTTCCTGAGAGGGAGGAAACGGAACATTGGGGAACCAACTGGTGGGTGGGTCTCTCAAATGCCGCTGCCTGGGGGGTGGGGAGAAATGAGATGAGGAAGAGGGATCAGCAATGTTTTTTTAATGCTCAACAGAGAATTTCAGGCCCCCAGGAGCGTCTAATACGCCAGTCCTCACATACTCCAAGGTAGGTACAGGGCTTGGAAACATCATTGCAAAAACGGACACAACAGCATTCTTTAAAAAAAAAAATAGTCAATAGCTCTTGAATAATGAGTTATTTTAGTTACACTATTTTTTGTCTTTTTACACAAGCATCCAGTAAAATAAACCCAAGCATTGTTGTTTTTTAAAGTAACAATGTTGCTTTCCCATCATTTCCCACACACAAAAAAGCTAAACTTTACAACTGTAAAGCAACAATGTAATCCTTACTTTCAAATTCTAACAGAAGTTTAAAAATGTTTGTTAACCGCTGGGCATGAATCAGCTCTGTCTGTGGTCAACAACATAATTAAGGATGGGCCAATTTTCTAAAGGATGGGCTTCTTTATTTCCTTTGCTCATAGTTTTATTGCACTTCATTGATTCCCAGCTTTTTGCTGTCAGATTCCAAGTCAATATTCCAGCAGGTCTAACACAGTCTTCCTTCTCCTGTTTCCCAAAAAAACCCTAGAGTCAGTTTCTTATTCATGCCCTTCAATACATCACACCAAAGTGTGTACACTGGATGGTCTAACTTCTACAGTGGAGTCTCTAGGACAATCCAGCTCCCTAGTATTAACTTGCTAACTTTCTTGTTTGGAGTCCTCAACTCAAGTAGCACCACTTGAGTTGTCAGTCTATATCCAGTCTAGTGCCCTTGAGCTTTTCAGCCTGCAGCTCCAATCAGCCCCAGCTTACATGGCTAACTGTGAACAACTATGGGAACTGAAGTCTCAACTATCTGGAGGCCAAACAGTTGGGGAATGCTTTGTTTCAATCCATTTTTAGTATGGATGAGTTTAGTTATTCCTGGTTTATATTTTGTTACACGCAGTTGGTTTTGGTGGTCTTATGTTGTTCTTTTGCTTGTTAGAATTTATGATATTGTAATCTAGATTTCATTATTTCATAATTTCATGTAATTTTTCATGTGGTTTGCTCTGGGGAATTTTTCTAGTTTTGAAATACCCTACAGCTATTTTAAGAATTTCTATGTGGTAAGTAAAAACAGCTACCATCAGTATTATTATGAATGCTGGTGGAAGACATCTCTATTTATGGAGCTGGCTGATACATTTTCTCATTTCACAGATTCTCCAAGTAAATGAACAGTGTAAAGAATCCTCTATATTTTGCAGTAATTTTTCTAGAGCTAGAGTCACCAAATAAATACACAACTAAAGATCCAATTAGGTGTGGAAGGTCTTTTGTCTTAAGGAAGGACCAAAAAGTAACAATCCCAGGCTTTAGTCCATCCTTCAGAGATAGCCTGCAACTCCCAAAATCTGCCCAAGATGGCTTGAGGATTATGAGAGTTATAGCCCCCCAAAAGTAACTTTTCCATGTTTTGGAATGGAGATATGTATATTTTCTTCAAAATATGGGAAGGAGGTAGAATGGGGGAAATGCTACACATATCTTTGTATGAGAAAAACAATAGACATGTCCAGCAAGAGACTGGGGGCAGAAGTCACTTTGCTGGGCATAAGCCAGAAGTTAGACAAATAACAGACTCCCACATATTTCAGAACAAAGCAACCCACTTGAGAGGACCAGAAATTTACACAGCCAACTTAGAAAGGAACACTACCATTTTTCTCCTCACAAAACCCCAAAACAGATGGAAATTTTCTCAAAGAATTAAAACTAGTTCAACTCTGAGCCCAAGCTACCTACCCATGCAACTCCAACATTTTTACACAGGTTGCAGCAACACACTCTTCTTTTATGTTTTCATATTCTGGCTTCAGTTGCTGCAGCTTAATCAGCCATCATCTTCAACCCTCAGGGCAGCTGAGTTTCCATGAGAGGACAAACAGTACCTGTCTGTGTAGTCAAATGACATTCAAGACAGGATGTATGAGGGAACCATAAACTAAGTACATTGCCAGCGTCAATGCTCAGTATATATCAGACACAGGTATGCCCAGGTATAACTAAATACACCTGATTTTGCTACTAGGAAATCAGTCAGCCATAGCTATAAAAGATGGAGCAAAGTGTTTGCTTTCTCGGGTAATCACTTCTTTGCACAATAAATTCACATGATGTCTGGCTTCTTATTGGTGTTCACTTCAACTTTCCTCTTCTGCTAAATGGGGGATTTTAATTTTCCAGAGTATGATCTAAAATATTTTGTTATTAACCCTCCTCCAGGATTTCTTTGTAAACTATTTTGTGTCGAATGGACAATTCACTGCACTGGAATTCACCTCACTAGGTACCGGTACTTTTCAGTCAGTGCTTCATTTTACCAACGCTATATTTTAGACTTTAAAAGTTTCATTTATTTGGAGTGGAGCTGAACCCTCACCTCACTGTACCATTTAAATGCATAATCAAAGATAAGCAGTCCCTCTCACGATTGCCTATGATTACCTGAACATTTATTTTTTGTTACATGAAAACATCCAACTCTAATGTTTGACTTTGCACAAACATCCACATTTAAAGCAGACAAACATGACTCCTCAACATTAGTAGCAAGAAGATTATCTGCCTTTAATTATGTTGGTATCTAATATTACAATGCTGGCCTTGAAGTAGCTCTAGTGTGAATATAGCACCAAGAAAATTCAAAACATTTACTCTGTCTGGCTTGGGTCTCCCTAATGGAGCTTTTGGGAAATATACTCCCCTCATTTAAATAGTATTTTAAAAATGGAGTAAAACAACATAGTATAAAATCTTATAATATAGAGAGATTTTGCTATCCAGGAGAAGACAAACAGGCCTCTCTTGGGAAGGTGTGCTATTGTTTAGCTGCTATGAGTGAAAACTACATTTTCTTTAATCTAATGGAAAGGATCAGGAGATTGTGTAACTTCATCTGGGAAGAGTTTATACAATTAGTTGCCAAGACACCAGTGAGTTTCTCCCTCATTTCACTGTCACAAACTTTGACTGAGCAGGTATTAAAATGCCAGACACTACACTGACTCTGTAGCAGAGAGAAATGATGTAACCATGCGGTATTTCCAATGCTTTCTCCTCTGCCTTCTATAAAAGCATGTAGTGGCAGGCCTGTGTATACTCTCAAACTGGCTTGTTGCAAGCCTTAGGAATAGGAGTCAATACTGAAAGATCAGTGTCCTGTTTGATTCTCATGGTGGGCTGCTTCATTAGTCTCTCTAAACAAGGGCTTCTGCTAAACAGCCAAGCTTGTGGCACTGGTACTTCAAAGAGTAGCAGATATCTTATGAAGTAAGGTTTCATGGACCAGGTGATGCCATAACTGTCATCTTCAAGTTGACACATGGCTCTGTTGTTTCTGTTGCAGCAAATTAATGAAGCTACATCTCTGGAAGCCATTAAATTGTCGGTGGTTAACCAGGTACCCTCCAGATGTTTTGAATGGGGAGTCTATGGAATTCCTGCACCCCATCCTGTACCTGAATGAGAGGTGTACAGATCAGGACCAAACTGTGCTATACCTTTGAGCAGACATTCCAACCCACTCTGTCCCCAGATCTGTGATATTCCACACATGTTTCCTGATCTCCATTTCTTTTTTTAAAAGCATTCAAAAGAGTTAATGCAAATAGCAATGACCTGAGTAGCCTACACAGCCTGTACAGTGATCACCTCTCCATAATCACACAAACTTTCAGTCCACACAGGGGTAACATTTCAATAAAGTTTAGTAAACTAAACAGAGTGAAGAAACAAAGGAAAGGAAGATTATTCCATAAAGCAAAACTAAACTTTCACATAAGCCTTTTTTCTTCACCCCAAGGCTAATATAGGCTCGGGTATAAGCAAGGCAGGGGTAACATTTCAATAAAGTTTAGTAATTCAAACTGAGTGAAGGAAAGGAAGATTATTCCATAAGCAAAACTAAACTTTCACACAAGCCTTTTTTTCTTCACCCTAAGGCTAATATAGGCTAGGGTATAAGCAAGGGATAAGTGAATGAATGAATGGTTCCTGGATTCTAAATTCTGATTTTCACATGTAAAATCCTGAGCCTATATTAAAAACACAGATCTGCACTACAAGAGGACTTAAGGGATGTTGTGTTGTCCACCGGAAGGAACAGTATATTCTTACTTCCCACCAACCTAGCGGTTCGAAAGCATGCAAATGCAAGTAGATTAATAGGGACCACCTCGGTGGGAAGGTAACAGCGTTCCGTGTCTAAGTCGCACTGGCCATGTGACCACGGAAGATTGTCTTCGGACAAACGCTGGTTCTATGGCTTAGAAACGGGGATGAGCACCGCCCCCTAGAGTCGAACACGACTGGACAAAAATTGTCAAGGGGAACCTTAACCTTTACCTTTTTATAAGCAAGGGATAAGTGAATGAATGAATGGTTTCTGGATTGTAAATTCTGATTTTCACATGTAAAATCCTGAGCCTAGCAATATTAAAAACACAGATCTGCACTACAAGAGGATTTGAGGGATGTTGTGTTGTCCACAGGAACAGTATATTCTTACTCCTTAGGACTTTAACATTATGCAGAAGTGTTTTGAGACTGACTGAGGCTAACTTTTAATGTGTTCTTGAAGGCTTTCATGGCCAGGATCCGACGGTTGTTGTGGTTTTTTCAGGCTGTTCAGCCATATTCTGGAGGTTTTTCTTCCTAACATTTTGCCAGTCTCTGTGGCCGGCATCTTCAGAGCACAGGAGCTAGAACTCTGTCTGTGTTGTAACTTCTACTGTTGATTAATCTACTGCAAAAGAGTGGAGATCTGTAATATTCCTCCTGCCCTCCAGACAGCTTAATTTTATAAAGCATGCCACTGTTTTGAAATCATGATCCACTCCAAGTTCTCAAGATGAGATGCGCTATCAATCTAAATAAACAAGTTTTCAGATTAAATTGTCCCACAAGCCTGTGGGAGGGAGAGAAGCCATCTCACTGTGAATCAGCAGAAACAGAAAAAAGGTTGCTAAGGCCAGACATGTTGACCTTTCCAGTGTGTCTCCATAAGTACCAAAGATTAAACCAGGCTACTGTGAAGCAACTAGGAAAGCATGTGTATGTGAGCACACACCACACAGACTGCCCCCCAGCTTTCACAGCTGACAGTCAAAGAACAACAATGTAAAAGAGGCTATGTAAAGAAACACATGACAATTGATGGGAAACAGGACTGAGAGATGTGGATCACAAACCGACTCTTACTGGGACTTGTGAAGCTGATCCCAAAAGGTCCCAAGGCCAATACAGTACCTGTTCTGTTGCTGGACAGGTGGCCTGAATAGTACAGTCCTGAACCACCACCAGCAGTCAGGCAAGAAGCCAAGATAGGCAAGAAAGGCAAAGTAACAGAAGGACACAGTCCTACCAGAAAGCGAGATAAGCTAATATAGGAAAAGCCACAATCACGTAACAGAAGGACACAGTCCTACCAGAAAGAGGAAAAGCCACAATTGAATTCCAATAAAAGTATGTGTAGAGTCTAATCAGTTCAGTTCTAAAGAGCAAACAGGCAGCTCAAGAAATCAAAGCAATACGTAGCTTATGGTCAGAAGACAACAGATGAGCCACAACACAAGTCACAAGCTCCAAGAAATCAGGCAGGCTCAGCAGTTCAGAAAGGGGTTTCTAACTGTCTTAACAGTCCCGTACTGAAGGTATATAACTAACTGCTAAGGAAGTCTCTATCCAGACCTCAGCAGTAGGAATTCTGGCAAGCTAGTTTTCTTGAGAGGAGGTGCCCTCTATCAACCAGGCCCATGTTCCTGAGGAAGCTTGTAATCTTGAGAAGTCCTCCCTTGTAGTTGAGCACTTCACCTACCATTTGTGAACTCAGGCTTCATCATTAGGTGCCACTGTTCTCAGGCAGGGGGTACCTCCTTCAGCCTCTTCCTTGGACTCTAAAGCTAAAAATTCCTCCTACGGAGGGGCACATCCTCTTGTACCCCTGAGGATTTGGGTTCTGCATGAACGGGGCAGGTAGTTCCTCTCCTTATTTAGGTTCTGTGGTGTCAATCTCATCCTTGCTAAACACTGAGGATTTGGGTTCTGCATGAACGGGGCGGGCAGTTCCTCTCCTTACTGTATTTAGGTTCTGTGGGGCCAATCTCATCCTTGCTAAATGACAGTCCTTTGAGAGAGTCATGGGTGGGGGAAAGAGAAATAAACAGGAAAAGTGCCATATGCTCTGGAATAGCAAGCAGTGCATACATAAACACATGCATGCAAAGTACTGCAAGGCACAGAGAAAGCATTCTAGAGTTTACTTTGTACTTTCTCCTCACAAGTACCTGTAATGTGAGCATCATACTTTCCTGAGTACAAACTGTGACGAAACTCTCCAAGTGCAAGTTTCTCATGCATGTGTCACAAACAAAAATTCCAAGTACATCATCAACAAGGAAAGGAAAGGGACAACACCCAAGAGGATATTGAAGTGCTGCCCCCTCCTACTGCAAAAGGAGGACAGGGAGGCCAACTGCAAATGAAAGGTGACATACAACACTTCAAGCTACTGTAACTGTAGTGGTCAAACTATGACCCATGAGACCCCCTGCTGAAATCAGCACTGCCTGCAAGTTTTGTACAGCACTGGGGAAGACATGCTAAGTGGGCCCACCTCTTTCTCTCACTATCATGGTGCTATTCTTCACTTACATTACTACCTGCTTACCTGGTAGATGTAGAGCTGACAGGCAGGCAGACAAGCAATCATGCAGAGACTCTTGCATATCCTCTTCCTTCTTTTCTCTCCACTCCTCTTTGCCTGCTCACCTCCTTGTGGGCAGAAGGACTAACAAGGTGAGCAAGCAGGTAGAAATATGGAGAGAGACTACCACACACAGAGGTCCACTGCACTGGCTCCTCTCCCAGATAATGGGCCTCAATAGGTGCCCTAC